AAACAGTGGGGACAGGCAAGATCATTTCTGGTGGTGGGTGAGCACAAGGTCCGCAGCCTGTGCTCCCCAGGGACCGGCCTCTCTCGGCCATGCATTAAAAGTAACGGCAGTGGGGCAGCCGAAGGGGCAGCCAGGGCCTGAGTCTTCACCACTCAGCCAGCGCGGGAATGGGGGTGCTGACTCCCAACCGCCTGTCTTTCTCCCCACTGGGGGCTTTTCAAGAGGGGCTTGGGTTCTCTAAGAGTGTGTATTTGCTAATTGCAGTCTCGGCCTTAATGAGATTCTTTGAAATCCCCCAAGCCCGTTTGCAGGTTACAGCCTCATCTGGGGACCCTCATTCTCCACCCTGGCTACACAGCCCGTGAACAATTTCCTCTCTGGCTCCTGAAAAGCGAGCGAGCGCCCCAGTTCTGCTGAGTGCACGTCTCGGCTAATCCAAGGCCGGCGGGCTTTTGATGGCCACAATGCAAGTTACGCCCAAAGAGTGTCCCTTTGGTCATATCGACAACGCTTGGCTTCACGTCTGCAAGGTAAACGGGCAGAAGCCCGGCCGAAACTCCCACGCCAGACACCGGGGCATTTCCCTCTGCCCTGCTCACAACACAACTGGGGAGTGGGTCCGAGGGAGGAGTGGGGCGAGGGGGAGATTTTAGAAGGGGGATCGGGACAAGTCCTGCTTCTCAGTCACCATCTACAAGAAGTGTTGGGGGAGGACCACTTTCTCCCGTATTTCTCTCTTATTTATATCTATATTTTTCCATTTTGCTTTGTTGGCAGCTTTATCCAAACAACAACAACAAAAATCAAATGAGAGCGTTTTCTCCTTGCCTTCACCTAGGTATCTGCTTTCCTGCGGCCCCTGAAATGTGACTCCTTCATAAAATCAAAATTTATGATTATTCAAATGTTGGGGACTGTGAAAAGAGAGGAAGAAAGAGAGAAAATTAATATTGCAGCTGTTCTTCTGATTAATGAGAGATAATTGCTCATGAAAAGTCACCCCTGTGGCATTTTGTTGTCTCCTGGATCTTTGTTCTTTTCCACTATTATTGAGGACTTTCTTGAAGACTAAGCGGTTCTTTTCAATTTTGGGGTATTCAGAAAGGGTTGCCTGGTTACAGAGAATGGGGAAATCTCGGGCTATATCGGGTAAGATGTGCCACAGACAGCAATATCACAATGCCACTTGGAGAAAAGGATGGATACAAGTTAACGATGCGCTTTCAATAAAACATTCATAGACTTGTTCACGCTTTGATAATGACCTCATTAAAGGGAGCTGGGGGCAAGTAAGTCCTGTCTCCTGTTTGTGTTCAGCTAACAAAACCCAGCTTTGAGATCATTCATCGCTTTGGAAACTAATATGAAATCAATGTAAGAGGAGCAAATAAATCCGAGGCGTCCCCGCCAACTCCCGGCTGCGGCCTCCTCCGTAATCGGGCAGAAGATCCGGCAGCAGAACCGTGTGGGCAAATGCTGAAACTAAGAGGAAAAAAAGGACTTGGAGTTGGGGGAGGCGGGGAGCAGAGGGAGGGGAAAAGTGGGAGTTACAGCCGCCGGGAAAAAAACAAAAACAAAACAGTAAGCACGTCAGTGGGTCAGAACTCTACGTTTGTTGAATAAGTAATGCCAAGTTCACACCGCCCCTTATTTCCCTGTTTTTGCCGGTGACAGGAAATAGGAAGAGGAAAACGTGGGGTTCAAGTCTGGTGTGATCCCAGATGGGGGAAAGTACTGGAAGACTTTCTGAAAGCTATATCCAAGAATTCACATCTCCAGGTTGAGCTGCGAGGAAACCGCTCATCCAGACTTAGAGTTGGACAGTTTAGAGGCAAGAAGGTGGCTCTACTGAACTGCTTTGAATTTTTTCCCCTCACTTGAGGGTAAGGATGGGGTATCCCGACTGCTCAGGGGTGGGGGGTGGTGGGGGGCAATTTTTGTTACCTTTGCATTTGTGACATCATCAAAGACAAAGCAAAGCCATCCTCTATCATCCCCAGCAAGAGGAAGGAAAAAAAAAATCAAAGGATTTCCCCCCCCCCCACAAAAGAACTAATTTTCTCCTTGAATTATGAAAGCAGTGGCTTAGGTAACAGCCTGTACTCTGTACCCGACTGCTTAATGCCGAATAAATCCTTCCACGTGGCTCCCCGAGTCGTGGCAATTAGAGCTCATTATAGGCTCATAAGAGCTCTCACTTCGGGGATTACTTAATGGACGATGAAATTTTATCGGACAGGATCACTGAGAAATAAAATTGGGTGGCAGCGGGGGCCCCATGGGGGCATGCCAATGGCCTGCCCAAGGTCCCTTTCTGCTTCAAATGGGTTGGAGGAGCTGCTATCTGAGGAAAGGCAGGGCTAGCAGAGTCAGTCACAGAGCTGTCCAGGGCCGTAGGGGGATGAGGGGACAACGCACATGGAAGGGGAGCTTCCAAAGATGGGGCTGGAGTGGGGGAAAGAGGAGAGACAGATTCAAAGAGAACTAAAGAGAGACTCCAGTGTGGAACATGACCCCAAAATACTTGCTCGTGGTGGGCTCTGGCAATTGACCCAGTACCCTAATAGACACATTTCTCACTTGTGGTCTGCTTTCAGCCTCAGGCCAGCCCCAACCCGCTGCTCCCCTTGCAGTCCTAAGCAACCCCAGGGGCCTCTCACTTTTTTCAAAATTCCCCAGCACACCAACTGGATGTTTCTGTAGTCAGACATTAATTGAGTTAGATGCTCAAGCATCATAATTAGGATTCTCTAAAATAAAATGGTCCTCACATAGGCACAACTCCCAGCATGTCAGCATAGAAGTTTTCCCCATGCACAGAACTAGAACCACTGCAGATCACAGTGAATAAATAAATGCATATATTATATAAAATTTAAGTGAAAAAATATGTATATACTTATAAAGTGAACAGGGAAGTCATGTCACCTATTTGAACAATTTAGGCCTGTAAAAACATCCTGGCACTAGGCATCTCCCAATGGTAGAGCTCCCAGTCTTCTTTCTGAGGCTGCAGTGACTCGGGGACTGCCTGGATTTGAAGCCCATTTGAAGCCCATTTGAAGATGGGCTGGGCCAGGCAGGCTGGGTTGAAGCTGAGAGCTTGCGATGGCTGCAGCGGCAAACCTTGTGTTACAAAAGCAGTTACAGCTGAGCTGCCCTGAGTTAAGCCTTGAGACTCCTTAATTATTGTCACAAGATGTTGGATTAGCACATTTCTGGAATAGCTGTCTGTTTACACTCTGGAGACCCACTGTCCACTAACCGCTTTCTAATTGAATTCTAATCACATTCAAATAGCTCAATAACCAGCCTCAGCTGCAATTCATAAAACTTTAATTGCCATCCATAAATCCTGGGCTCCCCAGAGCGGGGGCGTCCCTACAACCCAATTATACTTCTCTAGCAGGCGAGAGAGATGGTCACAGAGATGGAAATGGAAAAGGAGAGACAGAAAAATAGAGACAGCTACGTCACCAGCTGAGAAGCTGGTCTCCCCTAGGATTTTGACCCTTGGCTCTCACAGGTGGAGGGGTCTGGTCACCAAGTTTCTTCGCATCATTGTGATCTCAGGCCTGAAGTTTGCCATCTGAGGAAAAGGATTGGACTTGGAGCTGTTGCTCACCCTCCCTGCTCCAGCCAGATTTTCTAGAGGGTGAAAGAAGAGAAAGCTGTCATTTCTGTAGCCTTGCCTTCCCCAAAGATCAATAGCCCCTAGGAGGGCAGCTTGTCTCTCGCAGAGTCTTTGGTGCACCAGTCTTCCACTGCCATTCAGGGAGGTTTCCTTTACCAAACCACTTCTCCCATATTGAGAAGGGCTTTAAAGGGGGTACATAGAAGAGCGTGCTTCCTAGTTAGTCTTCTAGCTGCCTAAGATCTGTAAAATGCAAAGGGGTAGGAGATGGCAGGACCCAGAGCAAAGTCTTCTCTCAACCCCTGCCCAGTTTCCAGAAGGGCCAGGATTTGGTCCTCTCCCCAAAGTCCTTAGGTTGGAGTTTGTAGGGTTGGCCTGGAAATGTAGCAATGGAACCCAGTGGAGAAAGAAAAGAGTGACCCTTTCAGTGTCTCTCTCTGCCAAAGGGGGAGTTTCGTGTTAGAAAAAGGCACAAGGAAAGATGGTTGATCTGAGTGGTCCCAGGAAGGCCCGAAGTGCCAAGCACTTAAGAACTTCTGAAGCATCAAAATGAAAAGTTCCTCTTCTTAGCTGGGAGGCCTCTCTGTTATGCCTCCCAGATCCCTCACAACTAACCACCTGAATGACACTGGCCAAGTCCAAAAGCTGGGGGACTCTGTGTGCTTGTGTGTGCCTGTCCCACGCTTTGCTCCAGGGCTGGGCCGCTGCCCGTCCACAGCGGCACAATCCTGTTCTAAACCTCAGGCTTCACACTATTCCGTGCCTTATCCACGGCTGGCACAGAGGAGCAGGGAGCACGGGGCATTCCGATTAGAAAGGCCTCCAAGTCCCCACCTGGTGCGCTGTGCAGCCGGAAGCTTGGAGGAGTTGGTCTGGGGCCCAGGCTAGGGAGAGGGGTGGGATGGAGGATGGAGCTCTGGGATTTCTCGGGAAAGCGTGGAAAGAGGGGGAGGAGGCCGGCCTCCCCGGGAAATTAACAAAACCTACACTTTGCGAAGTCTCCCCCATCCCCCTCCTCCGAATTCTTCCCTGCCGCGCGCCCGCCCCTCCTCGCCGCTTCTGTTGTGACTCGGGCAGCCTATCCCGAGGGTGGGGAGCTTCGGAGGAGCAAGAGCCGAGCTGTACTCCGCAGCATCACGTGTCGGGGTGGGGGCTATAAAATCCCGGAGCCGGGGCGTCGGGCGGGGGACTTGAGGACCAGCCCTCTCCAGGGACCCCTTTGTTCGCAGTCCAGGCGCCGACACCTCGGCGTCCCCAAGGGCTTGACCGCCTGCGTCCGCGCCGCGCCCGGGGCCAGACTCTGGACTGGAGAGGGGAGGGGGCCCCCACGACCAGCCGGGTCCTCCAGCCACCCACCCCTCCCGACATGTCGCGCTCCTTCTATGTCGACTCGCTCATCATCAAGGACTCCTCACGGCCCGCGCCCTCGCTTCCCGAGCCGCATCCCGGGCCAGATTTTTTCATCCCGCTGGGCATGCCGTCCCCGTTGGTGATGTCCCTGTCCGGGCCGGGCTGCGCGTCCCGCAAGAGCGGCGCGTTCTGCGTTTGCCCGCTCTGCGTCACTTCGCACCTGCACTCCTCTCGTGGGCCCGCGAGCTCCAGCGGCGGGAACGCAGGGGCCGGGAGTGCAGGGGCCGCGGGTGGCGGAGCGGCAGGAGCCGCCGGGGCCCTGCCCCTGCTCAAGAGTCAGTTTTCTTCGGGTCCTGGGGACGCACAGTTTTGCCCGCGCGTGAGCCACGCGCACCATCACCACCACCCGCCGCAGCATCACCATCACCACCATCAGCCCCAGCAGCCCGGCTCGGCTGCAGCAGCAGCGGCGGCCGCGGCGGCAGCGGCGGCGGCCGCGGCGGCCTTGGGGCACCCGCAGCACCACGCACCTGTCTGCACCGCCACCACCTACAACGTGGCGGACCCGCGGAGATTTCACTGCCTCACCATGGGTAGGGCGGGTCCTGGGCACCTGCGCGCTACGCCTTGCCGGCTCCCGGGAGTAAAACGTCGCGCCTTCAGTGGAGGAAGTGGGAGCCTGTGGGGTGGGCGGAGGGGACGAAGGAGGGGCTTTTAGAATAACTGCGGAGTTGTCCCCGTAAGTTCCGAGAAGGTGAAAGTTAGCCTTGCCAGCCTCTCCAAGAAGCTTGGTGCGCTCGACTCCAGTACCTGGTGCTCGAGTCTGGGATAATAGCGGGCCCTTTGAGACTTTGAACTTGAGGGCTGAGAAACCCGAGGTTAACTGACTGAGGTTCGGGGTTGGTGTGTTTGAACTTAAGTGTGGCAATCGGGCGTCGAGGCTGGCTAAAAGCGTTTCGATGCTTTTGGTTAAGCCTGCCTTTCCGCTAGGCTGGACAGGAGACCACAGGACTCTGCCAACCCCTCCATCCTCTGACTTTACATCCCCGAGATCAAAGGCCTTCGCTTGCTTTGGGCGTCTCTGTCCTTCCCGGCTAAGTAAAGATTTGTCTCCAAATGAGAAAGAGTGAGGGATGGATACAGGTCTTTGGTTGAGCTTCGCGGGTGGGTCCTTGAGAGGCATCATTTCCAAGGGAGGCCGTGGGGTGGGAGCGCCTCGCCCGAGAATTACCTTTCTGCCCTCTCTTGGCCCGTCTGCAGGGGGCTCGGACGCCAGCCAGGTACCCAATGGCAAGAGGATGAGGACGGCGTTCACCAGCACGCAGCTCCTGGAGCTGGAGCGGGAATTCTCTTCCAACATGTACCTGTCTCGACTCCGGAGGATCGAAATCGCCACGTACCTGAATCTGTCAGAGAAGCAGGTGAAAATCTGGTTTCAGAACCGCAGGGTGAAGCATAAGAAGGAAGGGAAGGGCACGCAAAGGAACAGTCACGCGGGCTGCAAGTGCGTTGGCAGCCAGGCGCACTTCGCGCGCTCCGAGGATGAGGACTCCTTATCGCCGGCCTCGGCCAACGACGACAAGGAGATTTCCCCCTTATAAGGGAGGGCCGCCCCCCCCCCCCCCCACGCTCCCGGCATCTCCCCTAACTCCCGATGTGGCTGGCACCCAGGGGCCAAATCCTCACCCTTTCGGTGGTCCCACCTGGAGAAGCTAGAGAGGAGCTTTCCCCGGGGGCGTGCATACCGGGCCTGACCGTTCTCCTGTCTCCTTAATCTGTCTGTTTGGGACTCACTCACAGTTATAGGTCGTCGTTGTTGTTTTTTATGTAAATAATCTAGATTCAACCCAGTTTTGTCATATAACAAAGGAAAAACAGGATTGGTTTAAGTTTAAAACTGTATGTGGGTTTTTTTAAAGCGCATGTCATTTCCCTTTCCCTGTCTTTCAGAACCAGATAAGAACACGGGGTTTCTTGATTATTTTTTTAAATGAAGGTATTGAGTTGCAAATAACTTAGAAAATTAAACCCTGTAGGTCTTGCTTTCTGAAAACTTGCCTGAGGAGAGTCTCAAATCCAAGTCACTGGAAGTCTCTTTGTGAATAGTTTTATATAAAATTTATATTTATATTTATTTAAATAAATGAGACAAAAATCAAGGTTTAAATTCGCGGTGTTGGCTCTCACCAACTTCCCCTGTCTCTCCCCACTATGGATAGAGAATAAAAGTGTCTGAGAATTTACAGCAAAGTAATGACTGTATCTTGATAGCGTGAGTCTCTTGGTTGAGGGAGTTTGTGACTCTGTAGGATCTGTGTCACCAAAACTTCTGCCAAGACACTTTCAGTCATGATGCTGCCTACCAGGTATTACTCCCCATTCTTAAAGTAGCTCTCTTCCTCACAGCTGACAGGATAAGTCCATTTAGAGTGACACTAACAATTAATGACAGGCAAACCTTTCAATTTATTTAGTAGGGGAGGTTGAAAGTCCCTTACCCCTATTTATTTTCTGTAGCAGTCCCTCCTCCCTTTTTTCCTTCTTCATTTCTCTCAAATACTAAAACCCGAATTATGTGAAGGAATCTGAATAGTAGGAATAGTTTTAGGAAGGGCAACAATCCATCAAACAGGTTGGAAGCAAACGCATGGAAACTTATGAATGATGCTACAAGCGACTAGAAACAATACCGTTTTTGAGTGTTTGTCTAGCTAAGAAATTAGCTGGTTTCCACCACTTCTGTGAAAAAAAATTTTTTTTTTTCAGGAATAGGGAGTTAATCTGTCCGAAGATATGCATTCTCAAGTTTCCAAAATAGCTCAGAGGTGCCCTTGGACTTTGGGGTTTTTTTCCTTGTCTCCTTTTCACCTAAATTAGTTCCCTTCTAGTCCCACTGCTCCCATCACCTTGCAGAGTTCACTCCTGCAAGCCTGGCCCTGGAGAAGACTTTGGCTCTGCCCTGGCTCTGCCAAGCAAGGCAACCTGACTCTCTGTTCAGCACAGCTAGGTTCTGTCCTTTAATGGAGAGTGAAGCTGGAACATGGAAACTAGGAAGTCTCATTCCCTGAAGGCTGAGTCCCACTAACACCCACTGGTGTTATTTCTGATTATTTTCTGTAAAGATGCCACCCCAAAGGTCCAAGCCATAGGAACTGTTAACAACACATACTCACACTTCTTTAGGTCTGATTTACTCTAGGTCTATAGGGACTGAAATCTGAACAGGTGAGTTTGCAGATCTAGTATGGTAAGGAGGAAAGAGGGGGGAAGATGTGACCATGGTTTCCCTGGCCAGAAATTCTCTCTCTCTCTCTCTCTCTCTCTCTCTCTCTCTCTCTCACACACACACACGCACATACATGCACGCGCGCGCACACACACACTGCAGAGAACTCAGGGAAAAGGAAAGTCTCCTTTCACACTCCGGAGGCCCGCTGTCAACTCTTATTCTGGTGCTGGTCGGGGCAGGCGAGGCGCGGGGGTGGGGTGGGGGGGCGGGCGAGGCTGGACGGCTCGCCCTGAATGGGGAGTTGCTGGGGCTTTGTGCGGGGACGTGGGACTGGGCCTGCGCAGTGGTCACAGGCGACCGGCTCGCTCCTGCCCCGGGCAGGGGCTCAGGCTCCGGATCGCTCTCTAGCTCACACTCGAGCAGAGCTTCGGGCCCCTCGCCCAGTCGCGAGCCCGCCGCCTTTTCCGAAGATCCCTTCCTCCTCCTTACTAATAAACAGGCATCTCTGGGCACCAGTACAGGGGTGGAAAAGAGGGGGTTTCGTAGCGCAAAGAACCGGCGCCTAAGGAAGAATCCCTTAGCGGGAAGTAACCGAAGGCCAAAGAGACCCGGCTGCACCTCTGAGCCCTCCTGCCCAAAGGGAAGCCTCAGCTGGTTCCTGGACAGAAGACTCCGTCCCCATCCCTTCCGCACCCGCCCCGGCCCTTCCGTCATACCCACGCTCGGGCTTGTTCCTCCCCAAGTCTCTGCCCTCGCAGATTTGAGCATCTGCACCTCGCCTGACTACCCCCACCCCCGCCCAGAGCCAGCGCCCAGAGCCACCCATTTGCTACACCAGATGCCGCTCCTTGCCCAGCTCCACCTCCCTGAGAAGGAGACGCGGTACCAGTCCTCCTGGGATAGTCTCCGTACCTCTCCCTCCCCTCTTGGGGAAATTCCTTAGGGAAGAGAGAATAAACAGGGGGTCCTGCACCAGAGGCAAAAAGGTTCAGGCAAAGACGTTGGACATTCTCCAAAGAAAGTTTCTCTGGGGTTCCTGGGGAGGTCCTCCTTGTCCTAGAACATTTGGAGCAGAGTGAATCTTCTTGTCACTGTCAGAGTGGACCATGAGGTTTCCTTGTCTGCTATTTTACACTTCCCCAACCCCCTTCCTCCCAGAAAAATTTCAGCCGAGCTTTAGGAAGTTTGGGAATAAGGCTGTGGAGATCTGTCTGATTTTAAAGACCCATAGTTTCTTCTTAGGTTAAGAACACCTAGGCCAACATTCAGTGTACAAATACTCTGCTCAACAATCTTGACATCAGCCACTCTAAGAGAATTGTCCCCAGACTTGCTAAAAGAAGAATGTTTAAGATGCATGGAGTCACCCTTACTTTTCTACCTGGGAAGCACTAGATGCTAGTTTTTCAATATATCCCACTTGAGACACAGAACTCTGTTCCCACAAAGTTTGGCCTCTTGGGGGCCTATAACCACATCATGGAAAGATAAATAGAATAAAAATGATTAAAAATCAGGACCTTGCTCCACTAAGAGGAAAGACGTGAGCAGCAGGAGCCATTAGTGTGGATGGATCCCCCTCTTTAAACAGGAAAAGAGCTGGGGATTGGGGAGGAGGGACAGCAGGAAGAATGACCTCCTGCCTTTGTGTCCTGACCCAGTCCAGACATTCCCAGCAAAGAGGAAGAGACAAGACCTTTCGCCTTCACCCTCCCACTCAGTGACCAACACAAGCCCAAGGCCAAGGGCCTAACAACAATAGTGGCACTCAGCAAGGCTTCTTGATTGAAGGCAAGGGCAGAGGGACTCAGTAGCTATCCTTGGTGATAGAGGCACTAACAGCATGGACCCATGGACCCAGGTGATAGAGACACTGTGATAGTAGATCCTACTCCTCTCCTTATTCTGAAGTGGCCATCATAGTTTACTCCCTACTGCCAACCCTCAACATATCCCCCCAAGGATATCCAAAGATAGTTTAGGAGAAACAAAAATTTTGAAGTGATGTCTTTGATCTTCTGACTTCCTCCTTCCTCCCCTCACCCCCACTCCTCACCAGTGCTGCCCACTTAAATCTAATCAGGATTAGGAATGCAGTTTGCTAGGTCCATCCTGACTGGGGTCAGCGAATTGCCAGAAAGGTGGTTGTTCTAAATGAAAGGCGGTCACAGAGGGCAACTGGGTCTGTGTGTGTATATGCGTGTACCCATACATGTGTGTGTATGTGGGGGGAACTCCTGATGGTGGTCGTGTAAGTGGAAAGGAAAGGGTTATTTTTACTAGATTTTTTTCCCCCTTTTTTCTTTTCTTCCCGCTTCTTTTCCGAAGTTTTCACTCATTTTCCATGGCACTGCTTGGGAGATTTCTTTGAGGGAGGCAGGAAGACACTGAGAGTTGGACTAGAAGAAGGAGGAAAAAACATTCCCTCGTAGTTCAGCCAGTAAAGAATCTGCCTGCAAAAAAAAAAAAAGAATCTGCCTGCAATGCAGGAGACCTGGGTTCAATTCCTGGGTCGGGAAGATCCCCTGGAGAAGGAAATGGCAACCCACTCCGGTATTCTTGCCTGGGAAATCCCATGGACAGAGGAGACTGGCAGGCTAAAGTCCATGGGGTCGAAAGAGTCAGACGTGACTTAGCACAACTAAACCACCAACCATGACAGCTCTGGGTAAGACCTCAGGTCCAGCCTTAAGGGTGTAAGAGAGAGGGGGAACGTGACACTTCCAATAGAACCTGTTTGCTGGAGGAAATTGGGTTTAAAGGAGCAATCACTGCTTTAAAAAGAACTCCTCCCATCCTCTCCAAACACAGCCTAAAGCTGTCCTAGACATGAATGCAGCTCAGAGCATCGAAGCAATTGTTCCTATTTTCATTATTCACAGGGAATCTTTGAATGTACCTGTTAAGGTGACAGACCTCTTAAAAGGGAAATTTTTTTCCATGCAATTAAATGGTGCATTTACTAGGCTTCTATTAACATAATTTAATATAAATCTATTTTATAAATCTTTAGGCTCACATTACTGAAGATTGAGCTTCTCTAAAAAAAAAAAAAAAAAAGCCCATGTCTCTCCCCTAAATTAGATGGAATAGAATCCAAAAACTTGCTATTCTAAGCCAGCTGGAAATATTAAAAGTAGAGGAATTTGTATTGTCTTTTGTTAATAGTGGAGGTATAGAGAAAAGAGTCAGCTTGTCTCCCAGATGATGAGAAACTCCACAGGAATGAAGGGCTCTTCACCCAAGGCTCTGGCACTTGGACTGGGTAATACAGGCTATAGTTGGAAACAGAACTTAAAGAGATCTCTTAGGAACAGAATTGAAGCAGAGCTCAGATGAAGAAACAACAGCCAACCCTGGCTCCCATTTGGA